CACTCTTGCCCTCTCTAGTCAAATTAAAAATAAGTAAATAAATAAATAAAGTTAAATTAAAAAAAAATTTAAAAAGAGCCGAATCTCACATGGTTGATAGCACAGTTTAAGTTCCGGACCTAATGGCTTGAGAAACATTTTGGGTATGAGTGCGTGTATGCCTCAAATCCCAAAAGGTGGGAAAAATGGAGAAATTGCTGTGAGAACATTCCCTGTAGGGGGTAGGAGGATGCTTTCTCATCCCCTCAACCCCTCCCTCTGGCAAGCATACCTGCCTTCTGGTGAAAAAAAAAAAAAAAAAGAGAACTTTCTGAACAGAGGTGGTTGTAAGAAAACACTTTGGCCAGTCCAGTCATTTTAAACATTGACTATGAGTTCTAAAAAGAGGTGTAACAATTTCACTGCAATAACTAGGTTACAAAAGACATAAACATGAATCATATTTTAAAATAACTTTCTATTTTCAAGACCCTGGAAGAATTGGCTTTTTAAATGCAAATCTGTAGCAAATACTTTCATATGGTGGATATACATTTTCCAATGTAAGAAAATACCCGCAGAAAGATGAATCTAAACTCCTACCTCTCACCTTTGACAAAAATCAAGTCAAGGTAGATCAAAGATCTATATCTAAGACCTAAACTGTAAAACTTCTCCTGGAAAACACTGGGGAAACTCTGGGAGACATTGGGGTAGGCAAAGACTTCTTAAATAAAACCCCCACAGCATAGCTGATAATCTCCAAAATAGACAAGTGGGATTACATCAGACTAAGAAGGTTCTACATGGCAAAAGACACAGTAATTAGTGTGAATCCACAGCCCTCAGAATGGTAAAATATTTTTGTAAGCTGGGCCTTATTATAGCAGCACTTAAGTCATAATGCTTGGAATGAGGCTTTTGAATCTGGCTATTTATAGTAAATTCTATGGGTGATACTTAAGTGCAATAAAGTTGGAGAAACACTATCTTAAAAGATTTAGTACCTATTAATGACCACAGTAAGCTATATAGCATCAGCGGGGTGCTACTTTATAGTATATTCATTCTATTCAGAGTTGTATTCATGTAGTCAGACATGTATTCACAGGTATGTATATATCAGCTGACCTTGTTATTGAAAGTAGTTAGATTATTTAAAATATTTTGTGAATCAATAAAATGTGAGGAAAAAAAAAGAATGGAAAGCAACTGTAGACACCAGAGATACTGTGGGAGGAGGGTGGGGAATGGCAGAGGGTAAGAAATAGGTGGAAAAAATATATATACATATATATGAAAAAATATATATACAAATGTATATATACACACATACATATATGTATATATGTATATAACTAGAAATGGAAAATTATTGATAATAACATGTATGATTAAGCCACTACGCCGTATATTCTGGATGGAAAATCACATTTTAATTAATTAGAAAAAAAAGATTTAGTCCCTCCTCCTCTCATTCTGTAAAGTCAACAAGATCTTTGTGAAGTCATAGATAGCCTTTTCTCATTGCTAAGATAGTGACATAATTTCAGGGCCCTGGAATCTTCTCCAGGTTAAAGCTGTTATTTCGAAGAGCGCAACCACTTGAAATGACTTCAGCCATTTATACTCTAGTGTGAGAAGTTATTGACATCTTTAATGATCTCTTTTATGGAGGAGAATGTGAGAGAATTGGAGGGCCCTGGTGTATAAGGAAAGGGTTATTAAGAGAGATAAGAAAGCAGTAGAAAGGAAAAACTAGAACATCTCAAAATAACATCTATATCTTTTAAAGTTTAGCCCAGGATTGGCCCTGAGTGGCCTAGTTTAGGTTTCCTTTTCTGGTTTTAGAATTGGAGAAAACTTAAAATGTTGATTTTTTTTTTAAGTTTTGCCCTAGGGCAAAACTTTTTTCATGTGCATGCATGAGTGTATGTGAGAGAGAAATCACTTGTGGCCGCATCACAGTCCCTTTCTCCTCTCGAGATTTTGGGCAAGCACACACATGCTCCTGCTGTAATTTTCAAGCTGCCAGGTCTGAGACTTGAACTGCATAATCAGCCATGTGGGGTCCAGTCACCATAACTGCCATGCCACTGGCAGATCCAAAATGTTGATTTTACTGCTGAGAAATATTGGAAGAACTAGGACATATCAAACCAACTATTTAGATCTGGAGTACAAAAAGATTTTATTTCTGGTGTCAAGGCTAATTGACTGATTGTACCTACTTGGAACTCTATTGAGGAGACTGAAGCCACATTCAGGGGTAGTGTGATTGATTAGTAATGTCTACCTTGGTTGTAGGAAGGTACATAGTCATATATGTGTTATTTATTTGCTACTCAGTTTGGACAGAGACTGAGACAGTGATGCTGACATGATATCGTCAGAGAAAGTAGGATATGATACCTCTGGAGAAAGGAGATAATCGAGGGTGCCATCTTTCATGTTGTTCAATGCTTCATTACTTGGAACAAAAATGGTGTATGGTCCACCAATCCCATCCTTATCTAAGGCATGTCCCATATTGGTTTCCTGCATTTGAGAATTGAGAAATGAAATTTTACACCTGCAACCTTTATTAGACACATATTTGAAGTACTGGGTCATCAGAAAAGTTGTGATGCATTTTTGCATAGAAAAATATATCATAACTTTTCTGATGATCCAATAATTCCCCAGAAAGTATTTATAATCAACATCCCTGCAAATTTTATAAAGGGCTTAAAATAACCATTTTTCAGAAATTTGTGAAAAGTACATACCTCTAACAAAGATCTGAACTTGCTATATCTTGGTTGTAGCATTGTCATTATGGTTTTCTAAAAAGAGATATTTTACTTAAATATCAACTAAAAATAGGTGGTTTAGGAAATACAACCCCTAACAAAGACATTTATGGGACACAGAAATGGGTTATTACCTGTCAATTATAATGTGTTTTGTACCTTCCAGTGAACTGGTGTGAAGCATATTTATGTTGTGTATATTCAACTTATAAACAAAGTGATGTACAGTAATTAAATGTATAAAATTTAAAAAATATTAAAAAAGACTGATGGCAGAGTATAATATGTAATTGTGAATATTTATATAAAAGGACCTGATCAATTGCAGTGTGTAAGTGTTTGCTATGGTTATTTAAACAGTAATTCAGAACCACAGTCCTGCCGTAGCCTTTGGCTATCATCATATAGGTCAGAAGAGAGAAATTTTATTATAGCGATGGCTGCCTTCCTCCATAAAACATGAAGGATAAATGTTCATGAAAATTGGCCACTGAGTTGAACTGTCCAATGTGGCCATATACACATGATCCATGCCTTTCTCTCTGCAGAGATACTCTGAATTCTACTGAAAACAGACAAGTAACCCCATCTTCTCTATGTTTGAGATCTCATTATGAGTACTTGTGTGGGTTCAATCACATAGTGAGGCATACTCTTCATTCTTCACTGTGATTTTCTAAGGAACAAAGGAAGATGATGTGGTGACATCACTTTTACCTGAAATATCTCACCTCAGTGTTGCTTGCAAATGTGGGTGCTACCTGGTCCATAGGTCTGTCGAGGATGTGTAAGAGCCCATTGGAAGCGATTATATTGCCCTGTATAATTTTTACCTTCTTTTTGCCCTCGTAGAGTTTAAGTTTAAGTTGATTGTCCTAAAACAAAGAGAGATGAAATAAAATTAATATGGTATTCTGGAAGGAGCAAACACTGGACTAGAAGTCAGAAATCCTGATTCCTCAGGTCCTGCTACTTCTTGGTTTTGTGATTTTGGATGAGTCACTTCATCTAAAATGAGAATGAAGATATAAACTTGGATTTCTTTAACAGCAAATGAGATAATGTGTGAAGTCACTGAGGATTGTCATGCTAAATGCAGATAAAGCATTAAAAAGCTGTCCTCCAATGGTCTGCAAGCCCTGTAAGGAAAAGCCTATTCTATGTACTGCAGATTCTCATTTATTTTCATGTTTTGTACAAAAAAGGCATACAATAGAAAATATTTGTTGGGCCACATGGTGGCGTGGCAGTAAAATGTGATGCTCTGTGAGGCTGGCTCACGTGGGAAGGTTTTGGGTTTGTGTTCAGAGATGTTTCTGAGTACACTAGTTATGCATGTGTGTATGATCAGGGGCTGGTGGGGGCTACATGGAGGGTGGCATTAACACCCTGTTGGGAGTGCTGTTTTTCTTACTTAGAGAAGCAATAAATAGACTTAAAAAGTATTTGTTGACTGAATAACTGAAGCTAATCCCTTCTTCCTCCTGTATTATTCCCAGAAGTTATAGACTTGGTAAATACATGTTGAAACAATGGACAAACGAATACATGCATGTTCTTCTGTGAAAGGAAACCACATCTTCATATCTATCATCTCTCCATCCCTCCATCTAGTCTACCATTCTTCTATCATCTACTCATCTATCCACCCATCTCTCCATCTGTCTATCCTTCTGTATACAGTACAGCAGATTGGCTAAGGGTGTGTGACTTTGGAGTCAGGTAGATCCACATTTGAATCCTGGCCATAGCATTACGATATAACCTCTTCATTTTCCCACAGGAAAAACAGGGATTATGATAGTGCCTCTTTCATAGGGTTGTTGTGAGTCTTATACAACACGAAGACAGTTTTACGTCAGTATTTTGCATAGATAGTGGTAATTTATAAGTTCAACAGTATAGATCAGAACGCACACATGCACATTCGGTCAATTAATCACTTGCCCCCAGTTCAGTAAAGTCACCAAAAGTGTTATTTGTGAGAGGGGAGAGGGTACTTTTATTAAAAACAAAACAAAACAAAAAAACCCCACAGAGAGATGGAATGTTAAATTGAAGAAGATGGATCAATGCCAGCAATCTAAGACAAACATAGTCTATTTCCATTTGAAAGAGGAATGCTAATCTGCCTGCCATTGTGCTAATGCTTCTAGGAAACAGGTTTACAACCAAGTTTCTTCTTCCTGCTGTCAATTGAATGATGGTTACCTTGAACACTAAATCAAACCAGACCCAAATCAAACACATTGTAACCCCTTTATGTAATGGTCCACCTCCTCCTCCCTGACTCTTCCTGGTAGTGTTCTCTGCTTCCTGTATAGAAAGGTACCCAACAAACAAGGAATAAGAAAAGAAGCTCCTCTTTTCTACTCATAATTCAGCCTCCAGCAAACAAAGCTAGCGTGGCAGGGGAGTTGAGGTCTTCCTTCAGAAGAGGATTCCTCATGACTCCTGCGAACTAGTAATTTCAGGGGACAGGAGAAATAAAGATTTTCTACTCATAATTTGGCCTCCAGCAAACATAGCTAGTGTGGTAGGGAGCCCCTCTGGCCTTCTATCTCTGTCTCTGTGTCTCTGTCTCTCTCCACTTCTGTCTTTTCATTTTTTTGTAATTTTTTCTTTTTACGATTTTTTTAAAGGTAAAGTTTTTCTCTTGCTCTCAGCTCCACCTTTTGTTTTGTTAATAATCCCCTCTGGTCCTTCTGCCCAGGCAGAAGAGTTGAGGCCTTCCTTCAGAAGAGGATTCCTCATGGCTCCTGCGAACTAGTCATTTCGTGTGGTTTTCTATTTTTTGGGTTTTAAAAAAACTTTTTTTAAAGAAAAACAATAATTACAATTTTTTTCTTTTTTTCCCTCTTTGTTATTGTTTCTCTCTTTTTCATTTTCTTTTTTCTTGTCTCTCCACTCTTCAATATCCATTTAATGTGTTTCTATATGGATCTAAGGGCACTGTAGCTAAACATCCAAATACTATTAGGGTTAACATATTCCTCAATATCTACTGAATCTGCTGCACCAGCGATCACAGAACGGCAAAGAGATTCCAGATCACTCTTTCTGCTTGCTCCTGAACACTTAGATTGAACTTCAAGAATTCAGAAGAAACACACCATCCATCAGATGACAAGAAATCACTGCAGGATCACAAGAAATATGGGAAAGCAAGAAAATACCTCTCTTCCAAGGGAAAAGAATAACTCCTCTTCATCCACAAGCAGTTCAATGCAAATCATGGAAATGTCTGATAAAGAATTTAGAGTATTCAT